ACTTTTCTCGAAAATTATTTACGTTTCGTTTCCAAGACATGTACAATTGTTTCCTATTTGATTTAGTATTACCCTCCCCGCATTGCTCAAGAATAACTCCCCAATAACCTTTAGTCTTCCGCCAGCCACTTTCGTAACGCTCTTTACAATGCAACATTGCCTCAATAACATTTTCAAGATTACATAATACTTTTCTCTTTATAAATACCTAAGAAACGTATATAGTTGAATTCAAAATAACATTCTCATTTGATAAATACAGACTAAATGAAGCTTTATCCAATCACAAGGACTAAGTGATCTTGTAAACGTACCATCCTCTACTGACTTCAATTCGATACAGATAAAAAATGCAAAGCAAATATGATTGAAAACGCAAGGTTACAGAACTTTGTGCAAATATGAAATACAATACGAAACTATTTGCGTGCAATGAGCGAGTGATCTTAATAATTATGTGTCAATTGACGATTTGGGTGGGTTTGACAGACGTCATACAGACTCGACAATCATTTCCCAGATAAGAAGCAGTAAAAATTTAAACAAAATGCTGAATTATACTTGTACGTATGATCACTGTGATGAAGAGATTTGGAAAAGATAATGCTAATACATTTCACTAGCTTTAAATAAGTTCAAAATCAACTCTTGCCTCGGGCTGGGGAAACAGATTGTGTATCCTTATTCGCATTTTACAATCTTCGTAAATGTTTGGCAGAGTTTGATCCACTAGGCTAACTGGTTCCCAGGAAGTAATCTCTCCTGACGGAGTCAGATATATGTTTGTGATATCGTCATATAGAGCAAACAAAACGTGATATAGATATTTACTCAATACACACAGGCAATACCACAACCAAAAAAAATGAAAAACTTTTTACTTTATTCTTTTTCTTAATCAAGCTGTCTTTACTTAAACAAAACACTCAGAGGAAAGAGAATACAAACACCCAGTTCATAAGCGATACACTTCCACTAGGGTTTCATATGAATTACCAGCAACATAAACAACCTTTTATGTACCAACCTCAAAATTTTTAACTTTCCTTTTACTGAAAACGATTTTAAGCACTCTAAACCACTGGACTAACAAAGTAACCCCAACCGTCTGACTTAAACCACTATTATTATACCTGGAAGTAAATTCTTAGCCAAGTACTGAGTATTATTAAAAAAAGGAATGACTCTCACTGGCCTAGAGTGTGGTGCAATTGTTTTATTCAGGTACTATCAATGGCTAGCATGTTATTATCAAGCGCTTCTTTCAGAGGATCTTTGTTCATTTACATAATTTCTGTTTTACATTTCTCCATAACGTTTTAGACCTTTTTTTTTCGCCTAAACACTAAGTGCAAATAATGTCACACTCACAAACATGAAGAATATTACCATAATCTTCACGAATACTATGACCCTAGTTAGACTATTCCACTATCAGAGAAAATATACAGGTAAGGCTTGTTAATTGTAAAGGAATAATAGTTATTTTAGGGGATGCATCAATGCAGTTTCCCTTTTCCCTAATAGTTTATAAACAGGCTCAGATTAAGGATTGGAATGTCAAAGAAGATGTGAAATTGGCTAGTAAATGGCGCAATGTACCATATGTAAATGGACATGCTACACCATCTCTTTACAGCTTTTAAGATGTCTTTGATGTTCTTCTCCTCAATTTAAATCTGCTAAGTTAAAACACAAGAGACCTTGTACCCCATGTTTTAATTAACAAAACTATTTCCCTTACAAGTTACAACTCACTCTTGTACCCACCCATTCCATCTCTGAGTACAATTAAAAAACAATAGTTATTTTTTACTTTCTATATTAATAAATGACAAAATGACCACAAAAAAAAATAGTTTCAAATTAGATTGGAGTTTTAGGTGTTTATAGACTAGTAAGACTATACCATTAAAAATTCTAAATAAAAACTTATTTTAGAAAATTCTGAGTGAAATTGACTGAGAGCATTTCATGTTTTGTAGGTGACTTTACCCTGCATGTCCATCAACTAGCTGTCAAATTATATACTGTTATCCATTTAAAGAGATTGATCTGATGAATCTAAATTTCGTTACATACAGGCAAAACTTAAGGCAGATTTACTGCAGAAAACACGAAATCTCATCGCTAATTATGTCTTGCATTTTAAAACCGATGGTAGATCGTTGATATCACACATTCCGTGCGTGTAGTGGTGACCGCCATAATAGTTTCGAACCATTAATTCTTCCAAAATATTTACACGCAATCACGGAAGGTGAATAGTAAAATTCTAAACGTACCTTCTGTAGATCATCAAGCTCGTCTTGATTGAATCCTTCTCCTGCTTCAAGTGTTTTCTTCTTCGATTGTGGCTTCGTCGTCAACGTCTTGTCCCGCTGCCGGTTCAAAGTCACGCTGGGTCATGGCAACTACACCATTTGATTGAGAACACACGAAATTTTATACATTCTCCGAAAAATTGTGCCATTACCGTGTATTTGTGAAATAGAATTCTACTCACCTTCACCATCGACGCTGCCTTCCTTAGATGACTAAACAAAAAATATATGAACATAAATTTAGGTGATCGAAAAAATTTTCCCCTCTGGCAAGCGGTCAAAACAAAAATACCAATATACAAGGAATACAAACTAGCAAACCAACCGAGTTAAGATACATAAAGCCTTAAAAATAGGCGCAATTTTAACATATATTATTTTAATAAATCACCGAATTATGTCTATAAGATTTTGTAAAAAAATGTACAAAATAATTGTCTTCGATTATGAGAAAATTGAATTCTACCATTCAAAAAATTTACCTCCGCTGTTTCCGCCATTTTGAAACGCTGATCAACAATGATGCTGTCAATTTCGAGAACGAAACAAAAACGATACTAAACGAACATTTCCGATGCATTACGAATGTAAATCGTGCTGTATTTTTACAAAAGCGTGATCACAAACTTGTACGTACAGACGGTTCAGTACTGCTGTTTTGTACGAGCTTTTTTGAGAAAGAACTTTACAATATTGTATGTAAATGGTAAGATTTTTAACCTCTTCTTGATATATATTGTGCTATAAGTGATATTCGTGGGGTTTTTTATTAAGGGTGGAGGAAAACGCTTTGATTACCCCAAATATGTTTGGTCTCCTTCTGGTGGATGGTGGTGTGAGCCAAGGAACTGGAGAAGAAATACAGTTATTGGCTTTGGGATGATATTTGCAGCTTGTGTACCAATATGTTGGTTATCATGGCAGCTTGAAGTAATGCACTAATTTGATTCTTCTTTGTTATCACATAATTCTCAGCATATTTCCCAGCAACATTATCTGGTGATCTAGTCATGAAGCTACAGTATTACCACACGGCACCTTGTTATTATTTTCCATGACCATAAGTTAAATTTTCCTTCACTGCTGTGTTGTGTGTTTGTTTTTTAACAACTATCATAAAATACTGTTATTTTACTTTTCTTTTAGAGAAGACCTGTTGCCCCATATAGACACATATTTTCACAAAGATTTGCTAAACATGCAAAGGTAAAGATACATGCAAAGATACTGTATTATTTAAGAGCGTTAGATTCAGGGTACAAGTTCTAGTATGACTACAAGTGCATCAGATGGGACAAAATTGAAAAATTTGAAATGGAAAGTAAAATTTGACTGCTATAAAAATATTTCAGGCCTACCTAAAGGTACTTTTGAATCATTTTCTTGCTTTCTTTGATTTAAAGGCTCTGTGGTATTAGGATGGAATATGTTACAACAAACATGAAAATGAAAAGTTTTATGTTGGCTCTCATATGGTCTCATAATTTTTGTGACTAATTCATATTTATAACATTCCTTCCAGGAAGATGATCCATCTCTGACCTGATCAGTGAATGAAAACAATGTTTGTGTTATGTACAAGCCAGTGAAAAAGTTGAATGGAATATATTTAAAACAATAAATTTAAAGAACAGAACTTACATTTAGTGTATAATGTATTTTGCACTATTTTATTGTATTCTGCATATGGTTGTATAATAAAATACACATTTTATAAAACAGTCAATTTAGTTTCTTATTGTTTGCCTCACATGACAAGTGTGAATTAAGATACAGAATATAAAAATAAAATATGCAAATTATGAAATATTTTGCATATGACAATATGCCTGCCATATGCGATAATAGATGCTGGTACTAGCTGTGGAAAAGCAAGATATTATTTCAATATTTAACCAAGATAAATAAATGTTTTAACGCGACATCTTGGACTTCATGACACTGCCTATAGTAGATTTGGTAATTTCAAGCTCTTTTGCAATGAGAGAAAATAATCGTAAATTGACTGTTCAGATATCTCTCAGTCTCCCTCACAGTAATACATGCAGCTATTTAATATACAGAAAAGCTCCGCAGTGCTTATTTAGGAGTTAAGGCGATTCTCCATTGATTCTCCCGCGCGGGCGAAGCGCGCTTTGTTTTCCAGACCCGTCATGGTCCCATGGGCAGATTTTCAAAAGACGCTTCGCCCGCGCGGGTGAAGCGGACGGTTATGGAAAATCGCCTTTAGGACATCAGACCTATTCGAAAAAGAGCGAGAGGCCTGTTGCGAGGTACACGAAAGCGAGGCTAGTCAGATTTTCATTTTCGGAATTTCAAAATCCTGTTTACTTTCACTGCTACAAAAACGATGTTTCCTTCAATCAAAATCCAGAAATGAACAAACAATTTTTGACTTATTTTGGCAGAAGAAAACCTGACTAGCCTCGTTTTTGTGTAACTCGCTCCAGGTCTCTTGCTCTTTTTCGAATAGGTCTATTGTTGAACATTCCTGAGACGTGAGTCAGTATCACGCAGCGTCATCACGTGTAAGGAAGATGATACTTTACATTTTATGGAATCATGCTGTGTTTATTGAAGACACAATATATCAACACAGTGACACAGTCACATATTAGGAATTTACATTTATCCAATGAAAAGAACACAAATTACACAGTATTATTTTTCCAAACAACTGGAAGTGAAAGTATTCTGACCACCATTCAAACATCATGCTGAAACTATCGCAGTCAAGCAGAGAAATCAAATTTCGTGTAATTTGCAAATTAACCAATGAAAGATTCTACGTGAGTTCAGGGCAAAGGGGTCAGTGATCATCCGGTTGCGGAACAAAAATCGTGCTTGACCGGAGACCGCTCGTCGACTGAAGATGTTCGTCGTTTATGCAATGAGCTGTAACTGGTCATTGTTTACATCGTTTTAATCTTAGTTTACCGTAATTGTGTACCTGATTGTATCATTAAAAGAAGGATTTTCAGTCAGTACTGAATTGTATTAAAATCACTGTGGCTTGAGGAATTTTGACAAAGCTCCAAGGTTAACTACCCACACAAGATATCATATACAACGCAAACCACAGGGTTGCCAAGTTTTGGAAGAAAACAATATCAGGAATTTCCGCTCGTTAAGCTTGTTTACGGAACATGAATCACAGAATACATTGGTAAGCACAGTCGGTGATTCAGTATGCACGTTCACTGTTCACTGTTCATTAGTTATTGTCTCCATTGCACACTCGAATGAACATTGTTCTTTTTGGCATCAAGGGTTACAAGTTCATCAAAGTCATCACATGTTATAAGGGTTGGTAGAAGCGAAAGAAGTCAAATGGGCAATATTTCGTGTTTATTCCTTGGTTTAAGAAGAGCTGCCGGATACAAAAACGAAGATCGAAAGAGCAGAAGTTCCACTGCTGATAAATCTTCTGAATCAGGTTTTTTTGAACAAGATCCAAGTGATTTCAGGAGAAAAATGGTCTCATCAATAATTTCATCTCTGCTTTAAGGTATATTTATTTCGAAATTAAATAGAACTCTTGCTAGTTTTGATATATGAAGAAATATGATGGACCTGAGGGGGCTTGAATCATTTTTGAGAAAATCAACTCCTATAATACAGAAATTCGGAACATTTTATAACTGTACGTATGACTGCATCATTTTATAATTAGTCCTAAAACTAACCAACTATATCATTATCCTGTGAATCTCCGCGCATTCTGTTAAGTCAGCTATTTTATACTGTTCGCAACGCAATAAATTGATCATATCCATATACCTACTGAGATATAGTGCGTTAATAAACCACGTTTCAGTAGAATAGTCTATTGCAGGATTATGTTACAAATAGCATTCTAAAAATCGTGGGCGTAGAATCTTGTTTTAGTCTGAACGGGCAATAGAGTCTGGTCGACTGAGAAAAATTTCAATCTTAGACACATCTGACTTTTCCATGGAAAATCACCTCGGAATTGGTAGTTAAATCGTTTTCAAAGGACTAAAGCAATACTGCGTGATTTAACTGCAAATAGATAGGAGTCAGGGAGTGACGTCAGCCACGATGTCAGTCAAGACACGGTCAAGAGAGATCAGGGAATGACGTCAGCCACAACAAATGGTGGTCGGACAGTCAACCCAATGACGTGCTTGACGTTTGTAGGAAAACACTGACTATGACGAGTCATTATTTTCGATGGATCGTATTCGCATCCTAACGTGAGTGCGTTTTTATGGTAAACATGGTAATGAATAATACAGTTGTTCAGTTCTCGTACAAATACGAAGAACTGGTTTAAATCCAACTATACATCTCACTACCAAGAAGTTCAAAGAGGGCCATCTTCAAGATTCATGTTCAAGATTCTAGCTTAAGCAAGCCTAGTTAATGTAGTACGTTATCTACGTATTCATCTTCAAACTAATGAGATCAAACACCAACAGACCAACTCTTACACTTAGGATAGCAAAGACCTTGGCTGATTGATTAATAAAACTCCTCGCGTGTTATGGCGGTGCGTGTACATCGCGTGAAAGAAATTAATTCTAATCGCCACCGCTTTAGTCACTGAGCTTTAGTGCATGCATATATGAAAATGCAAATTATTCACGATGACTAATATCCGAAAATTTAAATGACATCATGGCCTGCAGTAGTCTAAGACTAGGGGTAAATGTTTATTTCAGACAAGAAGGTTGGGGTTATTTGTATTTTGTAGTCTCTCTCCTAGTCCTAGCTCTCTCATAGATTCAACTCTCGTGCTTTATCATCAGGATAAAAAAAAACTTTCGTGATTGTAACTAAAACATTGACTTTGTCTAAATATGATTTGCATATATTGATACTTCTTATGCAAATGAGGGACAGCGTGCTTCAGATACAAAGACCAAGTTACAGCTCTTAAACGTCAAGTCTTCGAATTAATTTATGACTCTGAGAAATTGTTGGTGACGATACAGCTCGAAAATTTCATTATTGCCAGCATACAAGGAATCAAGTCGCTCTAACGAGACAATGTTATTGTTTAGGCTTTTTAACAGGTATGCTTTAGTATAATAAAACTCGAATATGATGTAATCATCATCTTCACCGCTCATTATATCCCCTAAAGTGCCGTTTATCGGCTGATTTGATGGGACATTTTGCTCTAAAGAAGTAATATTTTTTTGGTGAAGGGTCTTTAAGGGGTTTGTAGAGGGAACATTGTCACTAAATACACGTACAAACATCCTCAACGTTCGTCAAGAAGACAGCATTGCTTCTACAGTCCGCAGACTCCGCACAGGCATTATTAAAGGCTATAGGCTTTATAGGGTAAATATGCTATCATATGCGGTGAAAAACCGGCTGATCCCTTTGATGAACATAACGCAGGTGTAAACCGAAAACATTTCACGGCGATGAGAACGCATAGGATAGTGACACAGATAGAATACACTAATTTAAACTCCTGAAATATACTGATTTTAAACAGTATTTACTGGAAACTTGAAGGCGTATCATAAATTCCGTTATTCCAATTGACGTCTCGGTATAAAGGAAGCAATATGGCAGGCATATGGCAGGCAATATGGCACGATTTGCGTGGGCAAGTGCAGGCGTGCAGGCGTCTGCGGGTATAATTGGTACCAGGGCGCTTATATAGATTGATGAGTGCCCTATATAAGGGCTCTGGGCCGGTTGTATAAAACGCTTTAACTAAATTTTGCATAGTTAAATCCCAGTTCACTCAGAAATACACGAACCTAATTGGCCAATTCTGTCCTTAACTACAGTTAAAAGTTAACTATTCTTTTACAACTGGTCCAGATTGGTACATCCCCAAATGAAAAACGAACATTGTAAGAGGGTACATTGTTAATGTTAATGAAAACAAACATTGTAAGAGGGTACATTGGACACACAGGGCAACAGGGTCCTCCTCAAAGGGAAAGGTGACAAATTAAACGATTAACCGTGGAAAAAGCATTGAGATAGTCACTAATTTCCATGAACTATAAATATCAGTTGACAGTTGTATCCGAATCTTTGCCCGACGCCTAAATTACAACGCTAACATGTTTGCTATTCAAGTAAAAAACTATTAAAAGATCTGAGGTGGCCCGCCGGCTTTTTGTTTAACGAACCACAACCTTTTTTTATAGAGATCAGCTTCAATGGAAAAGACATATCATTTCCGAACGATCCAGCGTCAACCTGCCATGCACGTCATTGTTCCCATGACAAACCGAAGTTCTGGCTGCAGATACTGGACCTGATGGGGAGTACGATGTCTAGATGTGGAACAAACACATTATTATAACTATTTCCACGGTTCACAACCAGTGAGCTTAATCCTATAGCTGGTGTCCAAGATTGGAGAAAACGTCATCATAAAGCGTTTGGCCTATCGCAAAGCTTGTACGATACAGATCCTGAGACAAATAAACCTGTTGGAGAACCAAATGCTGATGCCTTTGCAGTTGTAGCAAGAGAAAATAATGCATTTCTTGCTGTTGCTGATGGTTGTGGCTGGGGTGTGAAATCATTTCTAGCTGCAAGAACGGCCGTGAAGGGTTGTATAGAATATCTGAGTAAACAACTTCATAAGGCAAGCACAACACAAGAAATTATGGATATTATGTTAAATTCGTTCAAATATGCACACGAGTGTATAGTGGATTCCAAAGGAACTGTAACAACACTCTGTGCGGCTGTCATATGTAAAATACAAGGCATTAACTGCTATGGATTGTGTGTGGTAAATGTTGGTGATAGTCTTGCATTTGTGTACAGAAAGGATGGTTACGTACAAGAGGTGACTGTAGGTTCTCACAGCCCTGGGGAAAGAGATATGAAACAAGCGGGTGGTTGTATAGGACCACTGGTTGGTGATGATCCAGACCTCGGTAATTTAACTTGTTCATTTACATTTGTGGACGAAGGTGATATCGTGTTCTTGACTAGTGATGGGATTTCTGACAATTTTGATCCGCAAGTGTTAAAGATTACTTCTCCAGGTGATTTAGATCATCTACTAACTCCTGTGAAGCCGTCAAAATCACAAGAGTCGTTATTGGATCAAGGTGATAAAGAAGAGAAGCCAACTGACGCTCGTGTGGTTACGCAACGAAGAAGAAGTTATTCAGCGCCAGTTGGCAGAGAAATTGCAACTACTGCTTTGGCGAAAAATATGTCTTGTACAATTATGAAGGAGGTATATTTTAAGGGGTTTTTATTTTCCTGAGCGTGTGCGAAACCGTTATGAAAAAACCCCGTTATTTTTAAAATGTTCTCCATGCGAGTCTCAATGAAAATTGACTACTAAAATTTTTTCTATATATTATTATACCATACATATATTTTATTTTTAGGTGATCCAATCAGAAAGTCCTTGTGGTGAGGAGAGCTCTGCGAAAGAACTTTGTGCTAAACTCATGAACTTTGTTGTACAAAACACGCTAAAAAGAAGAACTTTCTTGGAACAAAATCGAAATTGCAAGAGAGAAGAATTTAATAAAAAGAAAAAATCTATTCCTGGTAAACTTGACCATGCTACTGTTGTTGCGTTTGAAGTTGGTCACTTTCAACCTCAACCTTTTAAACTGACATTTCACGATAAACAACGTCCTCAGGAGAAGAAAAAACACTCGTTAAATGTTGATCAAAATGCGAGAAAAACTACAAAGAGCACTTCAGAACATAATTTTGATTACTCTGGTAATATGTTTTCTGCCTTAAAAGGCGTTGCTCCATGGAGACCCTGAGAATGTATTGTACTAAATTTGATTTACGTATGGCTCAAGAAAACATTTCAGTGTTTAACCTGCACGCGTTGTCCACTGGATTTTACTGTATATAGTGCTATATATGAAACAGAGAAATGTAGGGAATGTAAATTTAATATTTATTCTTAATCAAAGTTGTTGTATTTAGTAATTTGAGTAGGCAAACTAACCATCACGCGTATTTGCTATTATGCAATATTTTTAGCTTAACATTGGTAGATACACTTGTGGATGTTCACTGTTTTGCCGAAGTTCGTTGGAAATTTAGAATATACAAATCTATAATATATATGTAAAATACTAACTCGTTCAGGAGAAGGGGAAAACGAGAAAAAAAACACGATAATATGATTAATATCACTTTTATTACCTGGGGATCGGTGGAAATAAATTGTGCAACACTGGATCCCGATTTAGAAATTCTGATCGACTGCGATGACGAAATGAGCACCACATCTTAAAGACGTATTATTGAGCGCTACCGCCACTACCTTGACATTGCTTCAAGCAACTACGTGCTTTTCCTCATGTCAGTCGTGCGTGTTTCAAAACAAAAGTTAAACATGTGTTTAACATAGAAGAGCTAGGCTGAGTAGAATTCTCTCATAAAATGATAACCCCCCCCCCTAGTCATTTTACTTCATAACATTATCCTGCAGGCGACAATCTGCAAAACTTGAAATCCAGAGTAGGAAAAAAATTGGGAAAAAGACTGTCAACAACATCATAAATCACATGCATTACTCACCAGGGTTCCGTAGTACGTCAGTCGCTTTGCGTCGTATATATTTTGCGGTAAAACTCGTGAATGCGGAATTTCCGCTGCACGTCTTAGCTTGTTTACGCAACATGAGGCACTACAAGATCTATTGGTAAGCTTATTCGAGCTTCATTGCACACTACAAGTCTCTAACTGAAGTAGAAAATAGAATTTCCATATTAAAATGTTGTATTTGAATACTATCACTTTAAGGGTGACACGATCAAAGTCAAATGTTAAAGCTTTGAAAGCTAACAACAAAAGCAAGGAAAGTCTAATGGGCAATATATCATGTTTATTCCATGGTTTAAGAAGAGCTGGTGGATGCAAAGACGAAGATAAGAAAAGCAAAAGTACCCATTATGATGATTCTTCTTATGACTCAGGGTTTTATGAAAATGATCCAAGTGATATTCAAGAGAAAAAAAATATCGATAATTTCATCTCTGTTTTGAGGTATTTATTTCTACTGCATCTACCCTTGTCCGAAATATTCAGCTAATCTTATAGTTTCATCGTTTGTCCATAATGAATAAATGGTACACAATCATATTACCGTGCAGCAGTACGTTGTTATATTGATAAGAATATATTTTCAAACAAGACCTAGATATCAGTTCTCATATGACCTTTGCTGCTCACTATGACATCAACCTTGGACGATATCGATTTCGCAATTTCTGCACGTTCGCCGCAGAATTTTAACATGGATGTGCCGGAGAAATTCTCCGAAATTTATTCCAAGAAAAGTAGAATTATTGTAATTACTGCTTTATGTTTAACAAAAAACGATAATTAGAACTATCATAGTTATTCCATCCTGATTATCCAAGGGTCATGCATGCATCACACCTTTCCTTGTTTCTCACTCTATGGCACTTCGTCTCTTCTAAATGTGCGTAGTATAACTAGTATTTATACATAGTGAATTTGTCGGGAATAACTAATAAGTGATAAGTCTATGTTCAGAGAATCCTAAATACACAAAAAACACATGGCAATCATGTCTAAAGACATCAACCAGGTTGACATATTCACGACAACTACTGAAATGGCAACCAAACTTGAAACGTTTACAGTCACGTACAGAGTAGTCAGTGCGTGGCTACTTAGTGATACCCTATTTGACCACAAAATTTAACGTCATAATTTTGCCTTTATATTAGGGCATTAGATATAAACTATAGTTTTTTACAACGACAAGCGATAGTTATGTATAACTTATATTCCTCGTAGATTTGCATATGTACAATATAATATGCAAATATATGTCGTTTGTTATAAGCAGTTCGATATGAAATGAAGGACATTTCATTTTGTATAAACGTTCTTTTATGCCGTTATGGATCTTCACCGCTTAACACATGATTCAAAGCAGCAAACACTAGCTGTAAACGTCTAGCGTAAACTATATAGATAATAGATGAAGAAATGAACGGAACAAAAGTCACTGTAATGGAACAATGTTATTCTGTAAGGTTTTCAGCAGGTATGCTTCAGACTGACAATAGCTAGTGAGTATCAGATACTGTATCAAACATTGGCTTAAAACTGGCTTTTATACCTTCCCAATCGATTATGTCGAAAGACAGGCCGACATGTATAGTCATGCCATGGTATATAATTACAAGAATATAGAAAACACGAAGCTGCTAACAGCGGGGAATTTCGATTTTACCATAACTGATATATATTATTATATTATTTAATTATGTCTTTTCATTGTTTGAAGTGCACGTATGTATGCCTGGCCCCTGGGTATCTTCTAGTTATCAGTACGGCTTCATATTTTCACGGCTGTGTTGTTAAGCTGCAATTTACCCTACCTCGTGATTAATTTCCTGTGAATTCCTCGCCTCTTGTCAATACTGGTTTTCATCAACATTTATTTTGAACGTTGAATGCAAACAATCTATGTTTGCACCGCATCATGCACAGTACTTGATCCTATACGAGGTATTTCTAACTTAAATACAAATCTTACGCCACGGCGGTCTTACACCACCACATTTCGTTTCTGCAAATATTTTGGAATTTATTTGTTAAGCAGGAATAGTATAAGACATTTATATCTATAGCCTACACTTTTCAGTACAGTTTTCTCAATTTTATTGTATTTTTTAACGTGTCTGAAAGATAAGTTGTATTTTATATGACTGCAATGGTAAATTTATAATATAATAGCGAATTTAATTACTTGAGATTTGCAGTCATCTTAATTAATGAGTGCACCATGCAAGATTGAGAGTTTTTAATCAAATATAATGATATGATATAAACTTGGTTATGTGCCGAACTTTCTGCAGTTAATGAGTATCTGTTCTCAGTTTGAAAAAGGTCGTAGTCTCAGAGGGCTGCTGACAGAGTCGCTACAATACTAGTCATATTTTCTCATCCAGTTTTTCTGCTAGATAAGGTAAACGACGAAGGGTTTTGGTATTTTTTGTGAATTTTATTTAAGCACGTCGACCTGCTATGGTCGTCCAAATTCAGATTATTTTTTGAAACGCTATATGGAATGTCATGACATTTGAAATATAATATAGGAAAAATAAAATCAATATACAAATTATATATTCATATTCACATTTATTTATTAAATTCTATGTGAAGTGAAATTAAATTCCATAGATATAATATGCACGTCTTCTGTTGTAGAAGTAATGTTTGTGTGTTTAACAAAGGTGTGAGATCACATGGAGCACTGGGGCACGTCTCGGGTCCAATTTCAAAATAAAGCTCAAAACCTCCACCCCTTTAACTTCATATTCATACATGTATACGACTTGCTTTCGCCTTGGATGTCACTTCATGTGATTTAGGAGTGCGTCTTGCATAAAAACCCCTTCGGCTTGCAGCTGCGTGTTACCATACAGTAACCCTTATCCTTATGAAGAACCCGACTATGAAGAGAGAGAGAGAGAGAGATGTCTAAACTATACACACGATCTCTTTATCAGGGAGACAGCTATGAATTGTGAAAACCCTGGTAAATCCACTGACTGCAGCGTTTTAAAAATTGAAATAATTGAGATGTCAAAACGCGACATGCTTGAGCTCAAACGTATTGGCTTAAAACACTTCCGCCTGACCTGAGCTATAAGCTGCATGTATAAGATTACAAGCCCACGACAGGTTTCATAATCTTTGCTAGATATTTGTACTGTTCTAAGCTATAAGTTGTGTAGTTTACGAGAGGTATAGCGATGTGTGATAATGAGATACCTATAGTAAACTCAGAGGTGGACGCATTATTTGGTGTACAGCAAGATGAAAGGTAGGATTTTGGTCAAGACTGTCATGGCCGGTCATATTTTGTAGTGAACTAGTGTGAGTTTATAAAGTGCGAATATTACTATCCGTGTGTAGAGTTCAATCACATAGTCTGCGCTTTTAAAAACCATGTATTCAATGAATCCATAGCCATTTATTAAACTATGAGTCGAAGTGTTTGATGTCAGTTGCGATAAGATGTCAACTCGACGTTGTATTTGTAATTTCACAATTGATAGTATTTCACTATATTTAGCTCTATGTTTGGCATTCACTCGTAATTCATAATCATGATGAGGACAGACTAAACGTGTGGAAATGCCGATATTTTTCTTGTAAATCGTCATCTTTAGTTTTACTATGAGCCTCATGACATGAGTCAGCAACACTCTGTGTGAAATACATTATGTTATCTATCATTAAATCGAGAAAACATTTGCATGAAAATGATGTTGATATAAGAGTTGCTTGCTTTGGCTGAACCGCCTCGGCAAAGGTGCATTCAAGCGAAGATGCATGGAGGCTTCTCTCTACGAGACAACCCTAGCTGCATGTATATGCATCGTCGTGCCTGATTATGAATGAATAACAACAATTCTTTAAAGTTAAGAACACGGTTGAAGAAAGGCGATCGACAAAATTTGTTTTACACCACATGCAGCCATAGGAAAACTGCATGAGAATTTCCAGATATCGTGCGTACAAACACTTCACTACTTTCGACGTAAACGAGTGGACTTTCTTAAAAGGCGTATATACGTTCGTTTCTTGATTCATAAGACATAACTAATTCACTCCTTCGTATCTGGTAAATTGTAGCAAAAATTGCAAGATAGTGAAAGTGCCCAGTGGTGCTGGTGCATGAGAAAGTCAGTTTCCGAAGTGATACGTAGAAATCATGGCCTGCTTCTAAATGTCTTTGTAATATCAAGTGATTAGTTTTATTTTACTATAATTATAAGAGGTAATGTTATGTATTTTTCACGACCCACATTCTGCTAACGTCCAGACAAATACTCTTTTCCCCGAAACGTCGACGTTTTTTTTTCATCATGCAACCAACAGTTTCTCTGAACTCATTGTTATGTTTATACATGAAAACTTTTCCTCAAACGATTACATTTTTTTATATAGAGAACAGCTTCAATGGAAAAGACATATCATTTCCGAACGATCCAGCGTCAACCTGCCATGTCGTGCCATTGTTCCCATGACAACCGAAGTTCTGGCTGCAGATACTGGACCTGATGGTGGAGTACGATGTCTAGATGTGGAACAAACACATTATTATAACTATTTCCACGGTTCACAACCAGTGAGTTCTAATCCTATAGCTGGTGTCCAAGATTGGAGGAAACACCATCATAAAGCGTTTGGCCTATCGGAAAGCTTGTACGATACGGATCCTGAGACAAATAAACCTGTTGGAGAACCAAATGCTGATGCCTTTGCAGTTGTAGCAAGAGAAAATAATGCATTTCTTGCTGTTGCTGATGGTTGTGGCTGGGGTGTGAACTCATTTCTAGTTGCAAGAACGGCCGTGAAGGGTTGTATAGAATATCTGAGTAAACAACTTCATAAGGCAAGCACAACACAAGAAATTATGGATATTATGTTAAATTCGTTCAAATATGCACACGAGTGTATAGTGGATTCCAAAGGAACTGTAACAACACTCTGTGCGGCTGTCATATGTAAAATACAAGGCATTAACTGCTATGGATTGTGTGTGGTGAATGTTGGTGATAGTCTTGCATTTGTGTACAGAAAGGATGGTTACGTACAAGAAGTGACTGTAGGTTCTCACAGCCCTGGGGAAAGAGATATGAAACAAGCGGGTGGTTGTATAGGACCACTGGTTGGTGATGATCCAGACCTCAGTAATTTAACTTGTTCATTTACATTTGTGGACGAAGGTGATATCGTGTTCTTGACTAGTGATGGGATTTCTGACAATTTTGATCCGCAAGTGTTAAAGATTACTTCTCCAGGTGATTTAGATCAACTACTAACTCCTGTGAAGCCGTCAAAATCACAAGAGTCGTTATTGGATCAAGGTGATAAACAAGAGAAGCCAACTGACGCAGATATGGTTACAGCAGAAGTCGACAAGGAAACTACGGACGATGATATGAGTTCATCTTGCACATTTATGAAAAAGGTTTGTGAGAGGTTTTCACAGTGATAAGACAAATGCACCCTAGACAGTATTATTATTCTTTCGAGGAATGTGCCGATGTTAACATGATTGGCCCTAAACCTGTAAGGAAAACGAATTTGCAATACGAAACTATGAAGAAAATAAATTTAAGTGAAGTGAAACAGCATTAAGCCCGTTTTCCACTAGGCGAATTGATTCGTGAACAGATAAAAAGTAGGCAGCGATTTCTTTTCGCGGCGAATTTTTTCGCAAACCAATCACATCACCGGATTTCAAATATCGCTTCGCGTCGCGCGAATAAATTCGCCTAGTGGAAAAAGGGCTTTAGGCGTGCGCGATCTTTAATTGCGCATTACAGGGCATAACAACCTTCATATTGCATGTAATTCAGTATATATTTTATTTTTAGGTAATCCAATCAGAAAGTCCTTGTGGCGAGGAGAGTTCTGCGAAAGAACTTTGTGGTAAACTCATGAACTTCGTTGTACAAAACACGCTAAAAAGAAGAACTTTCTTGGAACAAAATCGAAATTGCAAGAGAGAAGAATTTGATAAAAAGAAAAGATCTATTCCTGGTAAACTTGACCATGCTACTGTTGTTGCGTATGAAGTTGGTCACTTTCAACCTCAACCTTTTAAACTGACCTTTCACGATAAACAACGTCCTCAGGAGAAAAAACAGTCGAGTGGTGATCAAAGCCCAGAGAAACCTTCAATGCCCACCTTAGAACAGAATAACGAGTTTATTTCGTTGCTTGGTATTCTTAAGTGAATATCTACGATTTTGTGCATAAATATCTCCTTCGGGTCCTCATTTAAGACAAGCTTTTTATCCTTTAGACTTTGTCGTAATACAGTTTGTTTTCCCAACAAACAAATATGTACGGTGTTTCGTAAGGAGATATTCGTCCTTGCTGGTTACTGGTCTGTTACTCTGCAATAGAGACAGCGACAAAGTAGACCGAAATTCCGTTGCGTTCGTTGTCTAACACCTTGCCTACATCGGGGCTTGCTGTTTAAATGGTTTTCATTAACTTTGAAATGGTTTTTCTGTGAAACTGTAACCCGTTGTCGTTTTAACCAAACCATGCACGCAGTTCATTATCTTATTTCATCGTACGCGATTTTTAAGGCAGTCTCCGCATCTTGAGTGCTAAAATTTAGCAGCTAAATGCATTCACTTTTCCAAACTAGTTTATCAGTATAGAATACGAACAAATTTTATAGTGGATGGATATTTATTGTTTTTTGCTCTAATAAGGCACTAATAGTACCTAAAATTCCTTTCCTATCTTTTATTGTAATTGTTTGATCTAGTTTGATATAGTTTTAGTACATTTTATATCATAAAAATACTGAAATCTTTTAATTTAGTTACTTTAGTACATGTCTATAGCTAAATATATCTGCGATACTTGATGAAAACCCATGCAGCTTTGTGTTATTGTTAGTGAAATTCGCCTAACCACAAATGCAAATTAATAATGTCAATTTTCCATCTCCCGGAACAAAATTAATTAAAGAATATGAGAGGATCACCATTCACATGTAATAAATCTCAGCTGAGAAAGATCCTGAGAATAAGGTTGAACAGGAAATGTAACATTGTTTTGTTTTTAGGTATCACTTATCGTCAATTGGTAATGTATAAATGCATATCTCTTTAGCAAACAACAGTAAAGTATGAAGAAAACAACTCTTCACCTTGTTCTATATCTCTCAAAGCAACTAAAACAACGATTCTTACATGAATTACTTCAGATTTGTATGTTCTGAAATTGTAGTTTACGTTCGGAATATATTTCAAATACTGCAGGGGAAAACTGCTTGGTATATTCAATTCTTGGTAGGATACGTTCGCAGCGAATTCACGTGTGGCATTATTCACATATTGTCCAATCGCTAAAAGGTTGTGAGGATTAGGTGTAAGCCAAGACATATCACATGTAAACTTCTCGCCAACCAAATCCCTTTGACAACATGATCTAATAAAACAAATGAAAGTTTAGCATTTCATAATTATGATCATCAGAAACAACGAGATCCAGGCATGCAGGATGACATTCAAATACCATATGTATTTTTAAAAGGATCCTATATTCAGTGATATCTTGGGTAGCTTTCCGCCTCGTTCCCAGGGCCTTTAACCTTGATTCTGAGTTGGGGTAAAAGGCCCTGGGAACGAGGTTGGCTTTCCCTCTCACCTGTAAATTATCCTGGATAAACCCGTATCTTTACCATCAATGAGTATGCCATCGATGCATCTGAATATAAATGAATTCGCTAGGGACTGGAAGAATATTGGTTCATAGGATTGATAAACGGTCCCTAGAATATAACAAAAATTGAAGAAATACCACTAAGTATGAGGTGAATATTGAATCAACACTTTTGTGAACAATTGCCTGCCGTGGTTTTATAAATGATAAGCCTAAGCTCAGTGAGTATCTCGAAATATTGTGCTGTATACTTGATTTTATATGGTTGGAAAATGTTGTTCCAATTGTTACCGGATTGAAAAAGTGTTATCAAAATTAATACCTGGATAAATAGAAACAAGACTTCCTTTTTTAACTCTGCCATTTGACACAACAACTCCGGTTCCTGAAACTTTGCTTGATGAACGAGTTATTGAAAAGCCGAGCGCATTCGTCATTATTTTCTCACACGAGATCGTCTTGTTCGTGACATGTTTTTCAAGTTCGTTAAAATACTTTTCAAAGGTTCTGAGAACTACTGTTTCAGGAATGACATTATCATTGGATGATCCGAGAACTTTTCTAACGTGCCTTAAATTATCAAAATAAACAAATGCTTATATTTAAAATGACCGCCTCGAACTGAAAACTCCTTGTAGCGATGTATTTCATCTAGTGGTCGGGCAAAAACTTTTTACCACTGATTATCAAGTTCTGGCTTGCGAGATATGGCTGATATATGCTTGCATGTTTTGAGCAGTTAATAAAATGTCCTAGATACCATAAAATGTTCGCCTGCTAAAAGAATACATCACCTCCACGAACTCTATAAATCTTGCATGATCTGTAAACCAACGGTGCAATGCCAATACTGCAATACTGCCAGGCAATAGTTCGAAAGTTTTGGCTCCGCATTTGCGATCCATCGAAACAATTTTAGGAAGAGGCCACCAGAAGAGTTCAATATCAAGACATTGACGATCAAGTACTATATAGCATGCACCTAAGAACAAGACTCTAACTGCAAGACAGCCGGCCGGAGTTAAACGTTCTAGATCAATAGGGCAAAAGAGTCATACTCATAGTCGTAGAAACATATATCATCTCTTTGCAAACTTACTAACAAACAATTTTGTTAACAGTGAATGATCAGTTGTGGAGGAAGTTAGATTAGTTGTAACAGACGTGATCATACAAACCTGTTCTTCATATTAACCATGATCCATGGAACAAAACGATAACGGTAATTATTCCAGCTCTCTACCAATCTCTTCCACCATCCTAACATATGTCTACCACTGGTGTCTACCAGTTACACTACTGCCACTACAGTCTACCTTCACCCAGGCATTCCTAATTACATACACGGTACACCTTGTTCTTCAATGACTGTAGTCACTATACGACCGACATGAGCCCGCAATTCACTCGCTATAATGTGCTATAATGCAGTGTGAACTAATTAACTAAAACTGTATATGGCCACAACGTAGAATAAATTTGTGTACTATTTATACTGAAAAGAAACTAGATGACCATGTGAAACGAAAAAAAGACAACAAGGGAAGATAAAACTAAGCAACTGTGGTGTGTGGGGCACACAAGTTCATCAAGTTTCATCTTCGGTTTCGCATCTCTTATGTCCTGCTACGTCGTGCTATTTACACTATAGTGGACTTTTCAAGACTATCCAAGTGTTGGGCTGTTGGCAAGGAACGAAGCTTTAATACTTGGCTAGAATTAATAGAAAAGTGCTAATAATGCCTAAAGAGAGAATAAAAAAGAAATCCAGGCAACATGGACAAGTTACAAGCCAAGGTTTGTATCTGTACTTAACCCATTAGCGGTTAGCCACAATATAAAACAGAATTTTTGTCCATTAGTCCATATTCAGTGGTATTCAGTGGTATATTCCTTACAGGATGGTATTCTAAATATATTGTATTCTAAATATATGGTATTCTAAATATATGGTATTCTAAATGATATTAAATATTTTTAGGAATTCAATTCAAGACTGATCTCGGTCAGCATATTTTGAAAAATCCCCTTGTTGTGAACAGTTTGGTGGAAAAGGTAAATTCTGAAGTTAATACATAGTAATTTTATGGTCCAAGCATAGTTTGTGGTGTGCATGATTTAACCCTTCGTGTAATGGAGATCATGATTCAAGTCTTGTGGATGATAATTGACCTCTAGTGGATCATGATTAAATTATTAGGTATTAAGAATTCATATAAACACCACACTAACTATTGTACACATGATTTCTTTCTTAGGCAGGGTTGAGATCAACAGATACAGTTCTTGAAATAGGTCCTGGTACAGGAAATATGACAGTGAAACTGTTGGAAAAGGTTAAAAAGGTTGGAAATCGTCCCAATTTTGTGTATCTGCTGATAAAATAATGCTATACTAATCTTGTATGATTAGAAGTCCTTCTTTACTCAAAGACCGCTATCATCACTACAGTGTAGAGTGTTCCTTATGTTTTTCGTATCTTTTCAATAAGTATATGCCTGATGTTTCTACTATAGGTAATTGCTTGCGAGGTTGATCCGAGATTGGTTGCTGAGTTAAAGAAAAGAGTGCAGGGAATGTAAGTAGTTTCCATAGGATTTCCATGAAAAATATCTGTTCTAAACTTTCCCTTATTCTTTCAGGCCATATGCTTCAAAACTGCAGGTGATAGTTGGAGATGTGTTGAAAGCAGAACTGCCATATTTTGATGTCTGTGTTGCTAATCTTCCTTATCAAGTACGTATGGTGTTTCTAATTATACCTCCAGTTTTATCCCATTTATATAATCCTTAATAGTTGATATATGTACTATGTATGTAGTAGAAAATACTGTAGTTTGTTTCATATATGAAAATATTTATTATTTTTTAGATTTCATCCCCATTTGTCTTTAAGCTTCTACTTCACAGACCATTTTTCAGGTACAACTGAGACATTGATGACAGGATTTATAAGTGTTGCAAGTGATATTGCATGTCATATGAATATATTATTTAATTTCAGGTGTGCTGTTCTGATGTTTCAAAGAGAATTTGCTCAGAGATTAGTTGCCAAACCTGGAGATAAATTATATTGCAGACTGTCCATAAATACTCAATTACTAGCAAGAGTTGATCATTTAATGAAGGTGCAGTTCAGTAAATTACAATTTACAATGTTCATGCAGTACCATAGACCCTTGTGCACCTCAACACCATTCCATACAAACTTGCATGCCGACTATAGAATATGGTGGTTATGTGTTAGATCTTCCCAATGACATTAAACAGGAAGTCTGGGTTTAACATAAAATTTAAGTAGCTCAACATTATGGAGTCATTCAAGGCTTAAGAGAAAAAGCATTTAGAAGTTAGGGCTGGCTATTGGACCATTTCTTACTCCCATGATTAAAATAATTTCATTCTCGTGATCTTTCTCTATGTTATTTTCAGGTGGGTAAAAATAATTTTCGACCACCACCAAAAGTTGAATCAAGTGTTGTCAGAATTGAACCGAAGAATCCACCTCCACCAATCAATTTTCAGGTTAGTACAAGCTGTGATTCACATGCTTCACCATGCAGCCAGTTGTATTTCTTAATTAACTTAATTACCAGCTTACCACATCCTGATTACAGGATTCCATGCATACACTACACTATACTGTGCTGGATTTCTCCTTATTTTATAGTCTACTTTTATAAACTTCTATAGGAATGGGATGGTCTTGTCAGAATAGCTTTTGTCAGAAAAAACAAAACTTTAGCTTCTTGTTTCAGGTTGGTGCATCAATCATGTTTTACCCCAAAGCATTTTTATATTGCTTGTACAGTATGTATCTAAAGCTGGAATGACCGAATGACTGATTCAGAACGACTCTTTCATGCACCATTATATTAAATTGAGTGTCTTTTATATAGTTCAAAAGCTGTATTAGAGTTGATAGAGAAAAACTACAGAATTCATTGTTCACTGAACGAAATAGTAAGTGTCTTGGAGCTAAATTTTGTTATAGTATAAAGTCCGATTTTTTATTTTTGAAAAAATAATCTGTAATCTTGTTATGTTATAGTTCCTGGAGGATAATTTTGATATTAAACCAAAAATTCAGAAAATTTTAACAGACAACGATTACGATAAACGAAGAGCAAGAACGATGGATTTAGATGATTTCTTGGGGTATGTATTAGATATACTATGACGTGCTCAGCCTCTGCAACATGTAAAATTGGAGAGCTCTTGAGGGATGGAGAGTCTTGTGGTAATATTTAATTCTATGTTTAGGTTATTACAATTGTTTAATTCAAATGGCATTCATTTTGCTTAAAAGTTGCGTGGTGTGGAGAATGAGCTGTGGCAAGAGAAGGTACGATTCAGACGTCGTTCTACGATGAATTTGCTGTTTACGTGCATCATTTCGTAAATATTAGTGGACATTTCCTGAATGAGACTTTCAGTAGAGCGTGTAGGTAGAAATCCTGGCTTGCGAGGTTGCAATTATATAAACCATAAATCACGGAGATTCTCCCATGAATGAAGAATAATATTTGTCCTGTATCTTTGTTGTACAATTCTTTGCTGAAGAATAATATTTGTCTTGTATCTTTGCCGTACAAACTTTACGCTGATCCAGGAACTTAGATATGCTTAGTTTTACGAGACGCAACCTAATGTTTCATCTCTTCGATGTGAAAAATTTCTCAATTTTTTATCAAAAAGGAAAGAATATATATCGCTTTTCTTCTGTAGTAATTTTAGTTTTTCTTAGAAGTGATCTTAGTCTGACTGAAAAAGCAGTCTCGATAATGTGGAAAGTCTTCAATACATAGAAAATAAATTAGGTTTGAAAAAATTCCGGCTTTCGAATTTGTACATCGTCAAGTACTCCGGTACAATATAAGAAGTATATACATGCTGAAGAGACTCTCAACATTATTACATCGTCCAGATTTTATGCAATAGATTTACCAGACTAATAGCGAACAAACCATGCAGTTAATAAGGGATATAATATTTTTTAAGATATTACATAATAAGTTTTCTTGTAATCTTGTTATATATATCTTATGAATATTAGTGTATATTATATATTTGATAATTTTATCTGCGTAATGAAGTTCAAAGTCTATTATTCTAATCATGGGTATGTACTATTTCTCAATACAGGCGGCTTTGACTTGCCCTGACGTATCAAATTCTGTTAGAGCACAGTACGATCACACTACGTGGTCAAACCATAGTCAAATTTGTATCAGTATTTCATTCCCCAGGCAAAACTAGTAATTTATCGACATGTAGCCATTCATCTTTTCGACATGCCGTCTTTTGAAGATTTCCCGAAGTTATTAACGCGGCAGGAGTGAGATATCTGGTTTATAAAGTCTACACAAAAAATATTTACGATCCTTACGTCTGCAGCGGGTTGGTGGGACTAAGTTTGTTTGTTGAATATTAATGAAACGTTTGTCGTCACATTTAATCAACACAGGCCAAAGCCAATATTTCACGGTAGAAACAAAGATTTCAGACAGTCTCGACCCTCAAAACAAAGGGATATTTCATTCCAGCAGAATTTTTAACGGATATATCCTATAGAGCTGTGAGAAAACTGAGAGTTATCTGTGGTGAATCTAGTCAGGTGAGTATATACACTTTGTCTGGTGATAACAGATATAGATTTAATTAACTATATTTTACTTTATTTATCATCAACATGTGAAATACTTACATTTGTATGTGTTCTAATGTTGCATAATGATAGCTATATTTCATTTGGGCAATATATAGAGTCTGCAGTTAAATAAGTATTATATTTTTCAAATATGACAGAAAAGATTGATTTACGCAACATAGAAGATTTACTAAGTCGGTAAAGATTTCTGATTTATATCAAGAGGTTAAATTTAAAAATTAAGAACTGTTTTTTATGTAACGAGATTATTCAGGTGGCCAAGGACAATATTGCCCTTCTTCCGCAGTCGTAGAGGATTACCTGTTATCATGCTCTTGTGTAACCCTGCATGTATGTAATGTTTGTTACGTTAAACCATTTATATAGAAAGAACTCTCAATCTAGAATCACAAAGCATGAACCTGCTTTACCACAAAGAGAACTAGTACAGTGAAAGCACTATATTTTCATTCAAATACATTTTATTGACACGAAAGGTCAATTTAGGCAATAAATTTATATCTTGAGTATATGACATTGTCATTAATGTTTCACGTTGTGTTTTTAAGTTGTCTCTGCATGCACGGGGCATATTTATGCACGTTGTCGTAGTTGAGTTAGATTAGTGGTAATTTTCTGGTTCAGCGGAGACGTTTGTCATTCATAAGGGCGGTGGAGTTGGAGGATTATCATGCAGTTACAAGGCCTGTATTGAGGCTGGAAAAATTCGGCAGGTTTTTGAGGTGATAATCTCACCGGTACTGAATTTAGTGAAATCAACTGGTTTGCACTGCTCTATACGACAACAATAAATTTAATTGCCTCTAGCGTGATCCAAACTCGAATTTTGAGTGCGTAAATTAAGTGGAATATTGCTATAAAAATAGGAAACACGAAAAACAAATATAAGTTCCAGAAGCCCTTTTTAAAGATAAATTCATTTATCAACAATGACAATTGTTCACATTACTATAGTCTTGTTTATAATACTTTCTTTCAACTGTGCTCGTCTTCACTCTGTCAGCTTGCTTGCTGTTTTTGTTGATACAAACGCTCTGTTGGGTATTGATTGTGAAAATGGGCTGGTTACTAAGACGAACAAGTTATATTGCAAATGCAATAGCTATAAGAGCATGTTATTACTCAATATTCAAACACTTTATTGTCACGAACGTGCAAGTCATCAAGTCTTCATTTTAGAGTCGCCCATACATGCAGACCTGCGAACATAAAAACTTAAAAACATGGAAAAGTGAACCAGCTGCAGGGTAGACAACCTTCTCTGAGTGGATTGCACTGCGTAACTCGTTTTTATTTTCAACAAATTCTGCAAGCAAATTTGAACAAATCCCAGAACAATCTTTTAATTCAATAAGATATGTTGCGGCTATTTTCCAAATTTCGATCACAAATGGTTTAAAAGATTTTGATCTTCAGTTAGCTCCGATTTCCTAAACAGCATATAGACTGCGATAGGTATATCGCGCAGTGTGAATTTAATTCCCAAAAAAGCCTAATACGTCTGCTTCTGACCAGTAACTGGCTCGAGAGTCCAGACTGTGGAAGGCGTCCTGGAAACTCGTGCATATGATTCAGATGAGAGTTTTACAACAAGTATAATTTTGCCCTCTTCAGCCATTTTAACGCTCTTAAACTCGGGGTTTTTCATTCCTGTAAATTTCTGCAAATTCACAACTTGTTTCAATGCACTTTTGGTTTTCAATGCGTTCCTAGACCGATTGTTGGATAATAAGTGAACGATGATAAGCTGAGTTTATAATTATTTAAATTAAACTCAACAACAAACCATGGTAGAATACTCCGACTTGAGTGGTAAATTATGTTGCAATACCCAGTAAGAGCACGGGGTTATTTCGACCTTTTTAGCGTTTTATTTTATGAACCTTACAGGAACGAGCTTTTTGTTACCAGGCCTGCTCGGCTTCATGCATTTCCTTGCTTTATTCTAAAGACAAACATGTATTTTACTGATGCACGTCACACATGGTGGCGGCATTGTTCTGATTGGTTTAAACGTGTTTGTATATTCATATCTCCACGTGTTTGTAGTAATATTGTAACAAGATTTTGTGTTACGCTAGATTTTCATCGTCTCATGGCATCTGTTCACACAGACAAGGAAAGCTGTCAACGTTTAAAATATGATGAAAATGGTTTTGAAAACACGGATCTTTACTTCAATTATGAATACATTTTAGATAACTTGTTATCGTATATTCCGGCTGTAGCTATACAGCCTATACTTATATTCATGTACATCCTGCTAATTGATAATTGTTAGCACGAAAAATTTAAACAATCACATAATTTTAGTTTTTTACACAATGCTATCTTGAACAATGGTGTAAAAACTATAGTTACTATGTTAGTTATAACTTCTCTTTAATTTGTATGGATAAAACGTGATGATGAAATATATTATTAAACGGTATATATCTTGTCGTGTATAAATAAAATAACTTCAAAACCGCGACTAGGCTTAAAACGGTTAATTTTTCATAGTTATAAGAGTTAGAATATGCAGCTATTTAATGAGTTCGACATCTAGAAAATTTTTCTTCACGTGCCTACAAACTAAGACAATGCTCCATAAAATAGAATAAAGTCATTGAAGAGTGGACTAGGAGGGAGACACTCAACCATGTAACCTGCAAGTCCTCGTTTTTATGCAAAAATATGCAATATATGACAGTGAAAAGACGAAACAGCCAGCCATCTCAGCGTGTTTATATTGACCACAAAATGTCATTGATGTAACTGACATGCGCGAGAACATCAAAGGTTCCGAAACAACAGAGTCTTATATTAACTCTTATTGTTCTGTTCTCCATGAGGGCATGAGCTGAGTCGAAGCAGCTGCTTCCGCGTATCCCAGCAATATAGAATAAGCAGTTTTTATTATTTCTACGTACTATAGCTCTCTTTGGGCTGTTGTTTGTGAGGGAATTCATCAAAACATATATTAACTCTAAGTTTGAGATTTGCATATATGCGTTGGCCTGAAAGCCGGAAAAGACTGTTTCCATATATTCATAATTAAACAAATATAGCTTTAATACGTTTAAGCGTTTAACATGAATTCAGTCAGAATAACAATGAACGGCTAACGGAACTTTAATGACAAGTCTTGTATCATATGTGCAAATTAATATGAATGGCTAAATTCTGGACCGTTTGCTTCATATAAACTGATGTAGCGGCAAACGATAGGCACATTTTATATACCGGTATGTCAATACAACTGAACAAAAATGAAATAGAAAATCGACAAAGCAAGTGACAAGTCTGTTATTCAGATTGAGACCGCGTGTAAAGCATGAGAAGGTATTTTGGCATCGTATAGACTTGTTATTGAAGCAATGTTGACACGGTGAAGCTGCGGGTACAAGAAAACTTGTGGTTTACCAAAGCACAACGAATCAACGTGATTGGCTTGCCAAAAAGAACGCAGTTAAGAAAGATTGTTTAGATCAAAACTATTGCTTGTTTTGTTTGAATAACATATATGTGTTATATTTACTGGCAATCTCTGACATATTTGGCTGCTAAGAAATTTCCCTCATCATGCCAAGGAAACCAAGGTATTATCATTCCTATAATCATGCACCGGCTGTCATCATCTCATATTGACTTGTTCTTCTGTCTCAGTTTTTGTTGTCTACGTTGTGTGATGCTATATATAATTGGCTTTTGTTTTGAAATTGCTGTTTCGTTTCTCTATTTCGTACCAAACTTGTATAGCTATAGCCTATACGCATAAAATTAATAATCTCATATAAACGTTTTTTATGATTTTGCTTTTTTTGTCAAAAGCAATAGGAAAATAACATATACGCGGACGCGGAATATACGACGCTGAGAAATTTTATTTTTAGTGACAACGTATTGCATGACGATAGGAGTTAAAACAAGAATAAAGTGTGATGCGTGGTGGCCTTCCTCCAAATACTTCATATAAAAATATGATAGTATATTTTTCCTATATATGCTTCTCTCAGCTGTAATATAGGAATGCAAGAGAATAAGCCATGTAGCAATAAATAGCCAATGTTTGTTCTGCCACTTAACATTTAAAATTATTCTTGTTGCGAACCACATGCATGTATTGTGTCACACTTGTACAGAAGATATCAGCAGCTGCACGTTAGTTCAATTTCTTGCGCTCCTTCCGCTACAAGCCTACAACAAAACATTTTATATCACTATATTACATATATAAACATCCTACAGAAAATTGTCTGCATGTTTATTAATTAGGAGTTATCAAGTTATTTTTATCGAGTGTTTTGTCAGATCTTATTGTTGGCTGTTATGTTTGTCGAATGATTCAGTTTTATATTTTCAAGTTCACATACAGTAACATGTATCAAGCCGTCTCGTAATCTTCTTTGAGCATGTCTCCCGGAAGACAGACAGCTTACACGCATTAAAAGTAAGAGATAAGTCACTTGAATGGCGACATAATACAAGACTTACGAAAAGGATTTCTAAACGACGAAGGCCCTCCTTCGGTGAAAACGTCGAGAAGTTTCCTATGGGCACTTAGTGAACCGTTTGATAAGACGATGTTGTGAAAAATCGTCAATACACTGCATGGGAACATGTTTGTCTTAAATAAAAACTATCTCGCATATAATCTCGCATACAATCTGCTCTCCCGTGTACATCCAAATCTAAGTCATGCATGTCAAATTTTCCCCCAGGTTCTATCCTAAGATTCCAAACAGTGGGGAAAATGTATTTAGCTGTCACTCGGCCCGGTGCTGTCATATCTTGTATATTCACAGTATTTTGCTTTTCACACTTTATGCATTTATAATATATGCGGACTTATTATGAGCTTTTTTGCCATCTAATTGGTTAAACTTCCCACCTTTTACCAGTGGGTGTTTAGAGTGGGTGGCAAAAAAAAATGAACGTTTGTGCTTATAAATGAAGAAAACAACGTTTTTCTGTTATCTAACCTTTTACTTTCTTTCTTTCATTTACAGCCTTACCTTTCGTGGAGAACCTTATAATCCTTATGAGGTCTGGTTGTATTTCTGCAGCTACTACCTAAAAGTGATCAGTGCCAAATTCCGTGTGTTAGGGGAATTTATTTGCCGGAGAACATGGACGACATTCATAGCCCTACATGTCCTACTTGCTGTTCTCGCGTGTGGGTTTACACAATTCAAGTTTGCAAATAGATGGGAGGAATTGTACGTTCCTGAAGGATGCCGCGCTATCAGCGATCTCAAAGTTGCTGATAAATATTTCAATTTGGATTATAGAGAAGAGATTGTTATCTTAACTCCAAAATATCCGGACATTTCCAACAGGTCGTCTGGTGTTCTTACCAAGGAGTGTTTTCAAGAAGCTTTGGAAATCCATAAAGCCATTACAAGACAGAAAGATTTCATAAAATACTGTACGACGTTATCAAAGGAGACAGCTGAGAGTATTTCCGATTGTGTAATGGTGAATCCGTTGGATATTGTGACTTGGTATGGTAATGGTAGTTTAAATAATGTTCCGGCACATCTTTCGTTAGCTTACTATAATGTGGATCGTTTAGCCAGTAACGGAAGAGCATTTTATTTAAATCTACCTGCAATCTTTGGAAAAACGCTCCAACCTGAACTGAAATATTCTGGATCATTGATGATGCGTTACTTTTTGCGAAATCCGCAAGACGAGACTACACTTGATAAAGTTTTGACTTTGGAGAAACGCATTCTTGATGAACTTGCTGGGTTGAAAAATAAAATGAAGCATGTGGATATGTCGTACGCCAGTACTCGAAGTGTTGATGATGCTATTGGTGAAAGTACTGGATCAGATATTCGTCTTGTATCAGTAACTTTTATTCTCATGATTTCCTTTGCTTGTATTGTTTCTGGTAATATCCGGGAAAGTGCTCGAAGTCATTCATTGCTTTCTCTATTTGGAGTGCTTGCTGTTGTTTATGGCATAGCAGCTGGTCTAGGTTTTGGTATGTGGTTGCAATTACCATTTATCAGTATGGTTGGTGTCTTGCCTTTTCTGGTGCTTGGGATTGGTCTTGATAATATGTTCTTAATTATTCATGAACTTGACCGTGTACCTCTTGATTGGCCTGTCACTCAACGTATCGCGCATGCTCTATCTCAAACTGGCCCAACCGTGACTATGACGTCCGTGACAAACGTGGTAGCGTTCGCAGTTAGTACATTAACATCGTTTCCAGCGATACGTATTTTCTGCATCTATGCCTCACTCTGCATCGCGTTCGCCTACCTGTTTATTATTACTTTCTTCGTCGCAGCCTCAAAGTTTGATGCTGATAGAATTAAAGCTGGAAAGATTGACGTTCTGCTGTGCCAATATAGCGGTAGCCTATCCAAAGCATCGGAATATTTGAAGTTCCATCGTTTACCTCACTTTTCAAGCACAAACATAATGAAAAGATGGGCAAGTTTCATCGTGAAGACGCCAATTAAACAGATAGTGATCATGATGGCTCTAACCTTGTTTGCTCTTGGAATGTACGGCACGTTTCATATTGACCAGCGATTTGATCAACACGTCGTAGCCAAAGAAGGCTCTTATTTTAAAAATTTCATCAGAACGACTGAGAAATACTACGATCAGTCCGTTCAAGTCAATCTTGTCGTCATTGGTGAACACGTTGAGTACAGCGATTCAAAGACGCAGCAAAAACTTATGAATCTTGAAAAAATTGCCTTTTCAAATGACTTCTATTTGGTCAATGCAAGTATATTTTGGTTGCCAGTTTTTAAACGCTGGGCAACCGGAAATCAAAGAAATCTCACTGGACCTGATTTCTACAATTCTGTTAAAATGTTTGTTAATTCAAAAGCAGGACAAATGTATAAACAGGATATCGTGTTTAACGAAAAAAACACGAAAATTATTGCGTCTCGAATGATCGTCTATACTATCAGTACGACAGATTCATTAAAACTACGAGATGCAATGTTGACTCTACGTGAGGACATTGATGAAAAATCTCCTCTCCCGAGCTTTCCTATCGCGAAACAATTTATAAGTTATGAACAGTACGCGCTGACCGCTAAAGAAACTGTCCGCAACCTTCTTATTGCTGCAATAGCAATACTTGGTGTTAGCAGTGTGTATCTGGTTCACCCAATTGTTATCCTATTTGTGTTTTTAAGTTTTGCCAGTCTAGTTATAGAATTATTTGGATTAATGTATATATGGGATGTTTCTCTGAATGGTATATCAATGATTGGTCTGGTAATGGCTATTGGTTACAGTGTGGATTATAGCGCTCACGTGGCCCACGCTTTTGTTGTATCTGACGTTCCTGGAAACGACCAACGTATCGTTCGTTCCCTGAGTACAGTTGGTATCAGTGTATTAATGGGAGGTAAGTGGAAGCACAGATAGAAGTATATATAATATACCACGTTATGTATAATGTAAAATCCCTGTTCTTTTGTTATAGTTTCTCATTTTATTCATCTCTTTTTAGGTGTAAGTACATTTCTTGGAATAGTGGTGATAGCGTTTTCAGAATCAGAGCTCTTCCATATATTCTTCCGTATTTTGTTTGGTATTGTGGTTCTTGGCCTTCTTCATGGTTTGTTGTTTTTGCCTGTACTTCTTGCTACGTTTTGTCCTTCATTTATGAGAGTTGCTCATCAGAAAGAGGAAGTTATGCTGCCGAATGATCCAATCGAATCACCGACTGAGATTCGTGCAATCGAGATTTGTGAGAAAGAGACAACGGTTTAGTTATTCCTCTAACAATGTTTCGACAGTTATTTATCTTTTACTATTCTTACTGTGTATAAAGAGCCTTTGGCTTCGGCTTGTATTTTTTGGTTGCGATTCCTGCGTTTGGTTTCGAAACAGGTTGTTGAAAACCAGCAGCGTAGCCAGCCTGTCGATTTGTCCCGCTATGCTAATATTTTAGTGTTCACTGACTGTGAAAACAATAAATTTCAAAAGACATGAATAATTATAATACCTCGAAATTTACATAGCGGGACGAAATCGTCAGGCTGGCTACGCCACTGTTGAAAACAGATCTTGGACCGGCGTGAAAACGTGCTAAATATTTTTCAAGTTTACAACGGGAACATTAAAAACAATAGATAATGAGCTAAAATTCAAATTCCAACATTTTAATGTTTCCGTACATGAAGAATTCATGAAGTTTGAAATGTGCATGTCTGAAATGTGTATTGTATTAAGTTAAAGAATTAAATTAGATTTAATACGCGGGAAGATATAAGTATATACGATGTCTTTTAATTCAAGAGCAAGATGTGTGTTTTTTGAAACAAAAAACGCGCAGTTATTCGCAGATATATATGTCAACTCATGAGTCTAAATTTCTTTGTCTTCAGCTGGCTGATGACCGAAAGTTGCGACTTATTAGAAATGAGATTGCTCCTAGCTGTCTCCGTTTAAATAATGACATTTATCAAATCTGCTCAACTTGCTTATAGTTGTATGCATGCCAGACTAAGTTGAACTAGAATGTGTAAAATGTGAAATATATACTACTCTGTGAACTGTAGTGTGTAAAGTGAAGGTAATCGATCCAACTTTGAAATGCCATCACACCCATAACCTTTTATTCATTTTAACGCCGTGTAGTTATAAAAATTCTTACTGAATTTAATACTGATCCGAAACTTTGTTATTCGTACTAGCAGACTGTAGTTTTCAAGTGGTTTTTCCATACAATTGCAAAAATTTTTTTAATAAAAGTTGACTTGCGGTAAAAAAAATTCATTGGGTAGAAGGTTTGAGGCATTAAACTTTTTTGTGTTGAAAAATCACAGAAAAGGTGCCTTTTATAGGCGTGGTTGGCGTGATAAAGTTGGATTTTACCTTACAACAGGTGATGCTACACGGTATTTAATTAACTGAGCTTAAAATTGACTAGAGACAGAAATTAAGAATATTAATTTAATCAAAGGCGTCAATGCTTTAAATATTTAATGATATATAATACCTCAGCCGATAAAGAATAATTTGTAAACACTCAGGGCGTTAGACAACACGCGATAAGTGAAGGCATGGCCCTGGTACCTAGAATTGGGAGAATATAAAAGTTTACTTCTCTGGGAATATATTTGAAAAACTAACTATGGTAGTAGAGCAGTTAATAGAGCAGATAATAGAGCAGTTAATACAGACCACTTTACTATAAAGGAGGTAATTATTTATTGAATATAATGTATACGTATAGAGATTGTATATAACCTTATATAATAGCCCTGTTTGACTACAGGCAATTTATTGGCACGGCTAAAATGGGTACCCGTGCCCAATATTATTGGTGCTCAGGCTACCAAAAAAAGGCCGAGTACGGATGAAATGGGCACGCCGATGAATTGAATGTAGTGTAAGCGGGGCTAATGTTATATATTCGTAAATGACGTTTGGATGAAATTTTAATTATTTGATTCAAAATAAATTAATAAACTTTTTGTCATATGTTTTGATTTCCAATTTGAATTCTATATTTGGAAAGTGCAAATAGTAAACCAACATCACGTATGTTATATATTGATAGTGCTTGGTTGCATGTGATCGTGCAATGAAAGATACGTTAGCAGGTGGATGGATAATTGTGAAAATATATGAGCAAACAGAGCCAGTGGAATTATTCCACGCTCGCTCTCGAGTGAATGAGAAATTTATGAATTTACTGAACAAAGCAAATATGTTGTTACGTTTTTTACGGTTCCATTCAGTATGGGGCTGTTACGTCATCTGGCTCAAACTATATATGACATAAAATTCAGATGTTTTATGACTTTATCATGTTTGTGTCTGGAATGTGGCACAGGAATGAACTATTTCTGCAAAGTGTTCCACGTATTTAATCTCAGTGTACTGTATCGCTTTTAGGATCACCATTATCAAATTCTAACCATCTGTTAACTTGACCTTATAAGCTGTTTATAAACAGAGAGTCAGACCGAACATACACCACAAAAGTAAGTTTTTTCCAGGCTGTGTGTCTCTAGTTGGCGAGGCAAAATTTCATGACATTAAACATTAAAACCACAATAAAATAGGCATGTATTATCAAGAGGTTATCAAAGAAATATCAGTTAAACTTCATCCCCGGACCCCGTAGCCCTGTAGTTTTTTTTAATTATATAGATTACGTAGGCCCTACAGCCATGTGTTTATAGATTCGTGTTGTGCGTAATTTAGCTACATTAAGACATTATTTTGGTGCTTTCCCACATAAAGCTATAAGCGACCTTTCATGGCAGTAAGCAACAACTGTGCATCTATTCAGCTAGAAAGATGAAATGGTTCTCTTGACGTTCACAATCATTGTTGACATTGCTTTGCGTTGTCAACCAATAACCACAGGCCCACAGAGAGCCAAGGTAGCCGACCCGGTAAACAATATGAGGTTTGTAGGTGATTAACTGTTGAACCAATAAAAATCAAAGTGCCCCTTGTATTCATGTCGAATTGATCCCTCCCCTCCTATTGTGCTGGAACAAAGAAGTGAGAAATATCACACAATTAGTGACAAATACCTATAATATCATTTAGGCATTCCTAAAATTGGACACGGCGCTCGACGAAGAGGAAGAGTCAAAATAGGCCCGTTGGCTTCTATAATACAGGGCTGTTTCTTTCTCTTATAACTTGTATCACATTACGTTATATCATAAAACACTGGAATGTCGAAAGGAAAGTCGAAAGGAAACTAAACCTAATTTAGCGGGATTGTGGCGCGTGTGTTGGCGGTGCTATAGTGTCAAGTGACAAATCTTCTTAATGGTCGTGTAGTAATTTACTCACAAGGAAGATCAACGGAAAGTCAATGTTGGTATTTGCTCAAAGCGTAATTACAAAGATGCGAATATTTTGCGCCATTCTCCTTATTTTCTGTTCAAGGCAAACTGGTGAGTTGTAACACAATCTGCAGTCTGGTGTAATTTATCTCCACTGTAGGGGAGATGAGACGTAAGAGTTTAGACGACAAGCTAAACCTCCTTTAGATCGTTACATACTTCCACTAGGGAACACTTTGTACAATGTCAAGGTACATGTGTATCTTGCGTCATTTGACTTTTGCGCAATGTGCTTTTTGATCTTATGTTTAATTATGACGATTTGAAATATTTTGATCATTTGTCCACAGTGCTTCATCTCAACAACTGGTCACTCGTTTTAATTGCGCTTGTTTTATGACTGTTGCTCATCTCATTAATTTACGCCCAGTATAGCTGAGAGTATCTTAGTGGGAAGCTAAATATTTTATAAGTTAACCAATCTACAAATATATATTAATTGCAGAAAATACTCGTATTACGAAATATAGAAAACAGATTTTTTTATCTTTCTGTCGGATCAAGACCTCCTTTGCTGCCGCAGTAGATGGCATGGAGGCTAAACTCTGTTGGAGAGATGAATTCATGATAATATATTATCACATTTGTGTAGACGATGACTTGCTTTTATAGGCGATATAACAACTTCGCAAATTACTTATAATTATTCCACGAGTCAATTGTCTTTATACAGTTCACTCAAAGTTTAATTATACCCTCTATCTCTTTGACTTTGCCGTATTATACACAATCATGCATGCAGTATACCTTATTCCCAAGGCAAAGCTATAGATAGCATCTATACAAGTTCAAAATTAAATGTAATAAAACACAAAGATCTTGTAAAACAGTTTATTTTATTAAATTTTCTAATTAAAGGTAATTGATAACCACAATGGTGAGCATGCAGAAAAGTAAGGATAACCCAAGGGTCAAATTTGCTCGGGTTAACAAATATGTATGCAAAACACTAAACACTCATAATAGAAGTGTCCAAATTCTGGCGTTTTAAGTTGAAGTATTTGAAAAATTTGAATGCGTTCTCAGTAAATTTGCTGGAAAAAGGTGTTTAATTAAATATTATAATTCGCTAACCAAGATCACAAACATTCGGGCAATGATGACTAGACGATTTTTTTCTCTAATCGCTTTACTATTCATTATAAGTCTAATTGCTGTTTTTTCTGTTCATGTTCTTCAATGATGCACGATCAGTATCGTCTTTGGAATTCAGGAGTATTTTTCACGAGTCTATACCGTCATAATCTGTGTTCTCATGAACAGCAGGGGATCTCCGGTCTCCTCTCAGGCTCTCAGCCACAACTGTTACATGGCCATGTTGAAACAACACATAGTTATCACAAACAGTCAAAACAAACATTTAATATTAGCGATGCTGTTTTGGTATTTTCTCTAAAAACACAGAACGATCTATGCTGCTGTAGACACTACACACGAAGATAGAATTAAAAACATCGGAATATTTAGAGACAGTGACAAATTAAAAAGCGGAATTAAGAGCGGAAATTGGATATAGGCAAAACGCTATTCCAATACGACATGTGCAGATTCCATAAGAACATTTAACACACAGACCTATCGTAGTCTGACAAATATATGTTACATGTGTGTTGTATAAATTCAAAAAGTCAATATTGTCTTAGGTTGCACTTGGACATGATCATGGTCAGGATTATTACTATATTAGCGAAGCTCATACTTTGCGGATTAAAATTGCTAAAATAGTTCAATTAAACCAATTTTATTATTGTTCTGACCAACTAGATATTGGTTTATAGCCGTCTTTAAACTGTTTCAAAGATGTAACTTTAAAATTCAAATGATTACATTCACACCTGGATGTTTAGGTCTATACTTACACAATTCAACCAATCAAAAACAAGGGTTTTGTATTTAACTACAATTTAAATGGGTAGTTAAAAAGTAGTTTGACGCCCCCATAGGTTGCTTCAGGAAAATCTGCTTAAACTATTTTGTTTTACCTAATTATTTAATGAAATTATGTAATACATCAGAAATAAAATTACAATAGAATAGAATGTGAAGAAAAACAAAAACAAGAATTAGCAAAAATTCTCACATTACAAAATATAATCACATTACGAA